CCCTCAGACATGGCCATATAGAGGAAATTCCCCAGTTGAGGCTCCCTCAACCCAGGTGTGTCAAGTTGGCACTGAAGCTATCCAGCACAGGATCAGAGAATGTCATACAAAAACCCAGATTTTTTTCCTTCTCTGGAAAGTTGACCTTCTATCCTCAGAATAAGATGTTGATAAACTGATTCATTGTATACATTGCTTACATTATTTTGAATATGGAAATATTTACTGCAGAGCCAACAAGTAGACTACAGCTAATGTTCTGCCTTTCAGACGGAGTCATTCATTTTGTCTGGAGTTTGCAGCATCCTTCGTTTCTCATTCTATTAGCTTCTATCTTCATTTTTTTATTCTTTTAAAATAATTCTAATTATGTGTATGTGTGAGTCTGTGTTTGTGTGTAGGAGTGCAGTACCAGTAGAGGCCAGAAGAAGGCGTCAGATTGCTTGGAGTTGGAGTTACAGGCAGTTGTGAGCCACTCAGTGTAGGTGCTAGAACTGAACCTCGGTCCTCTGCAAGATCAGCAAGTGCTCTTAACCACTGAGTCATTTCTCCAGTCCCTTCATTTATGTTTTGTTGCTGTTGTTGTTGTTGTTGTTGTTATTGTTCTTAATCACCACAGCCCTATATCCCTGCACAGGAACCACCTTCTGATCCTGAGGAGTATCGGTCATGGAACAGACTTCCATTATCACATACCCCAAATTTTTCTTAAAGCTGAGGCCAAGAATAGATGGCTATTTATCACTAGATTTAACCCTTAGTCTTTTTTTCCCCCCCATGTATATGAGTGTATTGTCTTTATGTATGTAAGTGTATTCGTGTTGTGCAATGCCCGCAGATTCCAGAAGACGGAGTCAGAAGGAAACTTCTGGAGTTAAGGATGGTTGTTAACTGCCATGTGGGTGTTGGGAACTAAACCCGGGTCCTCTGTAAGAATACCCAGTTTGCTTAACCACTGAGCAATCTCTCCAGTCCCATTAACTCTTAGTCTTTTAAGGGTTAAAAATAAGTTAGAATAGATCTCAGAGAAAAAGTAATTCATATATTCATGGGCAGTGAGGACTTGCCCCTCCTAAGGGTGGTTACTCAAAAGTTATAATGTGACCTTGTTGGTTAAAATCTCCTTCTGTTTGTTTATTTATTTATTTATTTATTTTAATTTGGGGTTTTTTTGGTTTGTTTTGGTTTTTGAGACAGGGTCTTACTATATAGCCCTGGCTGGCCTGTAACTCACTGTGTAGGCCAGGCTGGCCTCAAACTCACAGAAATCCACTTGCCTCTGCCTCTTGAGTGCTGAGATCAAAGGCATGCACCACCATATCTGACTTTATTTTTTTATTTTAAGACAGTTTCTCATGATGTAGACCAGACTGGCCTAGAACTTATGATCCTCCTGCCTTGGTACCCCAAGTGCAAGGATTAAAGTGTAACCACACTTAGTTAGAGTAGAAAAGGGTCTCTGAAGATATAGTTAAGGGTCTTAAGGCAAGATCATTCTAGGTTATCAAGATGGCCCTTAATTCTATAACAATTATCTTTCTAAGAAAATAGTACATGGTCCCTGGCATGGTGGCATGGCAGATTTTCCAACTCTCTCTTCTTTCTTTCTTTCTTTCTCTCTCTCTCTCTCTCTCTCTCTCTCCATCTCTCTCTCGATATCCCCTTTCTCTGAATATTTCAGCACATATTTCCTAAGAATAAGTACACTGTCTTATGTAGCCCCTGTGGTATTATCAAATTAAGGATATTCAACATGAATTCAATTCTATTACATACATCCAGCAAGACTGGATTCAGGAAAAATCAATAGATGCTCAGACTACTGTAGAGTTGATGAGGAATGGGTGTTAGCAGAGTCATGGGGTATCTCCCCACAGAGAGCCGATCCACTGCAAAGGGGAAAAGATGCCAAATCCAGAAGATCAAAGTCACTACAAGTAATAGGCCATGCAGGTACCACGCATCTCCAATGAGATGCTGTGATGGACATAGTGAACCTGCTTCATTCCTGACTGAGATGCACAATCCGAAACTACCCTCAAGACAGCACCAGAAAACCCAAAGTGAGACCCTTCTATAAAGCAGCTGCTCTAGAATCATCTAGAACATCAAGGTAAAGAAATCCTGGGAAACTGTTCAAAATGAAAGGATGTCAAAGAGCTACCCACACACCAGGCTTCCCTGCTTTTGAAGGCACTCACTTGCGCTCCTTCTTGTCGGTAGGCCTGTTGATCTCCCTGAAGATGTTGGACAGCACCCCGTCTGTCCAGTCTCGAGTAGCTGGGTCCAGGATGCCATACAACTCGATGACAGCCATGGCCTTGGGGTTCAGGATGTACAATTTTGTCATCAGCCCGAGTCTAAATCAAAGAGGCAGCTTTAGCATGACTCCGCCCACCAATGGCCCAAGGGAGACAATGTCGGGCCCACAAGAGAAACTGTAGGTAGGGAATCCACCATTAAACTAATCTGTTTTCCTCTGTTGTACAGGGAGAGTTTAAGACAAGTTCTCACTACGTAGCCATGGCTGCCCTGGAAACTGCTATGTAGACCATGCTGCTAGACTCAGTCTCACAGAGATTTGCTGCCTCTGCCTCTTGAGTGCTGGGATAACAGGTGTTTACCACCACACCCATCTCTATGTGTTACTAACTTTATAAAACAAGTGAACAGGGCATGTCCCTCTATGAGGACAATGAATTCCCAACACACTTTGTGAATAATCTAAAGAAAGCCAAACTTAACACAACCCATGGTTCATAATTTTTAAACGAATGAAAATAAACAAAATATTACATACATACACATATATATGTACATGTGATAGTTCCTAGAATTATCTAGCAGTAGATGAGTTAAAGAATGGACCAGCTTGACTCAGGCAGTGAGCACAAGGCTTCAGCACACCTATCCCTGGGTTCCTCTCACAGAACAGGAAGAAGTAAGAAGTGGTGACCACCCAGTCACAAGGATGTTTTTTTTATTTTGATGTGTGTGTGTGTATGTGGGATAGGCACATATGTGCATGCAGGTACATGTGCAGAGGCCAGAGGATGACAGTGTGTGTCCTACTCTATCACTCTGCATTATCCCCTTGACACAGGGTCTCTCACTGAACCTGGAGCTAGACTGGCAGCCAGTAATCCCCATTGATACTCCTGTCTCCACCTCCTACACAGCCCTGGGGTTATGGATGTACATGGCTATGTCTGACTTTTTATGTGGGTGCTGGGGATTTGAACTCAGGTCCTCATGCTTGAACAGCAACTGCTCTTATCTGCTGAGCCATCTCTCCAGCCTCAGTCCTGAGATTCTGTATGCTATCTAAAAATTCTAGAAATTATATGGCTCCATTCAGAGTTTGGCTGGATTAGCATGCATTGAAGTCTATCTGGACTCTAGTCATTGCTCAGGGGAGAAGAGAGAAGTTGGAAAACCCACTTTGGGTGTAAGACTGTTGCCCTATGGTGAGCCTTTATTTTTTATTATAATTACATTTATTTATTTATTTATTTATTTATTTACTGTATGTATATGTTTATGTATGTAGGTCAGAGGACAACTTTCAGGAATTGGTTCTCACATTCTATCATGTGGGTTCTGGGGATTGAACTCAGGTTTTTAGGCTTGGCAACAGGCACCTTTACCCTCTGAGGCATCTCACTGGCCCTTCCATATACTTTAGGTTGTATTAGGGTTTGAGGTTGCCTCCTCCTCCACACAGACCCGCTCCTGCAGGCCTGGGGATAAGGCAGGGGAGGTGACCCTCCAGTGTTCCTCATTGCAGAACGTGACTTATGTTAAAGAAGTAATCTGAACACTGAGGTGAACACTCTCTCGTAAGACACTTTGTGACACCCTTGTCCCATAGATAAGACCCTTCATGGTGAGATGCAGGAAGGGCTGCTTACTTTGCATTCTAAACTGTTAGCTAAGTCACCAAGGAAACAAAAAACACTGAGTTTACAGGCTAGTGTGGAGGCTAAGCCTCATTGTCAACTTTGCTGGATTTGGAATCACCTGGAGACACACCTCTGGGTGTGTATATAAGGGAGTTTTTTTCTTCTAAGATTTATTTATTTTTATTTTATTTGTATGAGCATTTGCTTGCATGTATGCATGTGCACCATGTATATGCCTGGGTCCTGTGGAGACCAGAAGTGGGAAGCCATATTTCCTAGAACTGGCATTACAGTTGGTTGTAAGTTGCCATGGGGGTGCTGGGAACCAAACTGGGGTCCTCTGTAAGAGCAGCAAGTGCTGTTTACCATGGAGCCATCTCTTCAGCCCCATTTTCAGAGCATTTTAACCAAAGAGGGAAGATCTACCCTGAATGTGACCCCACCAGCTGGGTTCCCAGACTGAATAAAATTGGAAAAAGGAGAAAGTGGGCTTAACATTGGCATTCTCTGCTCTCTGTTTCTGGTCTACCCAGATGTGAGCAGTGCAGCCCCATCCTCCCCACACAGTTCCCGTCGCCATGGGCTCCACCAGACCTCCCCGATGATGGCCTCTAGCCTCCCAATCCACTAGCCAAAATAAATCCTCTCTCCATATAATTTGCTTTTTGATAGCAAATAAGCAGTTAGGACAAATGTCTCCCAGGAAACAAGTGATCAAAGCTTTCACCAAACACTTCCCATGGCACTGCTTTGGCAACTGCTCCCTCTCCCACCCCCAAGCAGGGCACTCACTTAGTCTGGGCCTGACACAGAGCATTGATGACCACGGACTTGCCCCCTCCTGTGGGTCCTACCACCATGGTTGTGTGACGGGTGAGCATGGTCTCGAACATTTGAACCACTTTATCCACCTGTGGGACAGACATTGGCAGCTGTTAAACACACTGTTTAGAAAACAAGTTTTATTAAAATATAATTCAGGACTAGTGAGATGACTCAGTGTGTAAAGGTACTTGTCGCCAAACCTGGTGACCTGAGTTCCATCTTTGCCTCTCACATGATGAAAGGAGAGAACCAACTCCTGCCAAGGTGTCCTCTAATCTCCATGCAAGCACCATGGCACACATGGCTCACATACACATGCACAAATAAATAAATGTAATTTTTTTTGGTCTTTTTGAGACAGGGTCTCCCTGTAGCTCCAGCTTTCCTGGAACTCACTATGTAGACCAGGCTGGCCTTGAATTCACAGAGATCTGCCTGCCTCTGCCTCCTGAGTGCTGGGATTAAAGGCATGCGCCACCACACCCAGCAATAAATGTAATTTTTTAAAGATAAAATTCACAAGCCGGGTGTGGTGGTGCATGCCTTTAATCCCAGTACTCGGGAGGCAGATCTCTGTGAGTTCAAGGCCAGCCTGGTCTACATAGTGAGTTCCAGGACAGCTGGGGCTACAGGGAGACCCTGTCTCAAAAAGACAAAAAAAAAAGATACAATTCACACACTGTATAGTCTTCCCATTTAAATTGTGCAGCCCAACAATATTCAGTGTATTCATAGTTGTGTAGCCATGATCATGACCATTTCAGAATTTTTTACCACCACTTCCCCCAAAGCCCTATAGCCACTACCTACCTCTACTACCACTCTGCCCCTATCCCAGGCCCTAGCAATCACTAATCCAATTTCTGTTTCTGGATTTATCTATTCTGGACATTTCATACAAATGCAACCAAAAAAGTGTGGCTTTTTGTGCCTGGCTTCCTTTACACAATGCTTCAGTTTCATCCATGCTGCAACAAGCTGCATGCTTCTTTTTTTTTGGGGGGGGGCTGATTTTCTTGATAGGGTCTCGTTAGCCCAGGCTGGCCTTAAACTTACTATATAGGTGAGACTTGCCTTGAACTGCCACTCCTCCGCTGCCTCCTGAGTGCTGAGATTGCAGGCGTTTGCTGCCGTGCTCATCTTCATTCCTTGTAATGGCCAAATACTAGTCTACCACACAGTTAGGCCACATGTTGTTCATCTGTCCAATAGTTAATGGATATTCTGTGGCTTCCATGTTTGGACCACTGTGAATATGTGATCATGGGAGCTCATGAGCAAATTTCTGAGCAGACACCTGTTCTCACTGCTCTAGGTCCATATCCAGTGAAAAAGTCACCAGGTTCAAAGAAGATTCTGTACAACTTGCTGACGAGCTGGCAGATGGCTTACTAGAGCAGCATGCTACTTACATTCCCGACAGGAACAACACCTTGAATGTGTATGTGCCTGTGTATGCATGTGTGCGTGCATGTGTGCAGTGAATGTGTATACGTGCATGTGCACGTGTGTGTGGTGACTGTGCATGTGCATGTATGTATGAATATGTGTGCATATGTATGTGGTGAAAATATGTAATCATGTGTGTGCATGTATGAGTGTACATATGTGTATGTGGTATGTATATGTGTGTGCATGAATATGGGTGTACATCCATGTTGAAGCCAGAAGTTGACTAGGGCTGTTTCCCTCAATTGCTTTCCACTTTTTCTTCCAATACAGTATCTCTCACTGAACTTTAAGCTCACCAATTTGTCTAGACTATCTGCCCAGCAAGCTCCAAGGATCCTCCTGTCTCTGCCCCACCACCAGAGTGCTGGATTATAAGTATATGCTGCAGCACCCAGCTTTTGATGTGGGTTCTGGGGATCTGAACTCAGGCCTTCATGCTTACACAACAAGCACTATACTGACTGAGTCCTGAGTTTGAGGCCAACCTGTGCTACATAGTGAGTTCCAGGCCAGTGTAGATAGTGTGAGATTCTGTCTCAGAAAAAGAGAACCACAACAAACACAAGCAAAGCTGTGGAAGGATGTGGCAGTCCCCGAAGGCCCAGGAGTTCCTCACCTGCACGGGCAGCAGAACGTAGCCGCTCTCTTCTAGCACCTGCTCTACCGCATCATTGAAATCAGGGTAGCGCACACGGGGGCAGTCCAGCCCTGGGAACAGGTCAGAAATGAGGCCCAGGAAGAGAGGGACATCCTCAAACACAAACTTGGGCAGGTTCATGTCCCGCAGTGCCCGCATCAGGACCACATCCTGGGGGAGCCAGAAGATAACAGAGATTGCAAGCAACTCAGTGCTGCCAGGATGTCCTCTTAGCAACACAAAATGCAACACTCAGAAAATTCAATGTATTTATGCTACAAATTTTGCCAGGGGATCCAGTACTGTCTTCTGTCCTCTTCCAGGATTGCATAATACAGGTCTACTTACATACCCAAACGCAAAACACTCATACACATAAAATAAAATTTCTAAATAAAGATAATTGGGGTCAGGCGTGGCAGCTCACATCTTTAATCCCAACACTCAGGAGGCAGCAGCAGGAGGCTCTCTGAGACTGAGGCCAATTTGGTCCATATAGGGACTGACAGGCCAGGTGGGGCTACAGCTACAAGGAGATGCTGTCTCAAGAGTGGGAGGGGGACGACAGTGTTGAGATGCCTCAGCCAGTAAAGGTGCTGCTGTCAAAGCAAAAACTTAAAATTTCTAATTTTATATGTATGAGTGTTTCGCCTGCATGTAAGTACACCTGTGTTGTACAATGCCTGAGTAGGCTAGAAGAGGGCATTGGATCCCCTGAAACGGTAGTTACAGATGGTGGTTAGTCACCCTGTGGGTGCTGGGAACCAAACTTGGGTCCTCTGAGAGAACAGCTGTGCTCTTAACTGCTGAACCATCTCTCCAGCTCCTAATTTTTTTTTATAATTTAAACTTTTTATTTTTTTGGAGACAAAGTCTTACTGTGTATATAGAGCATGCTGGGTCTAACATAAATATATGATAAGGACTAATAAGATGGTTCAGTGGGTTAAAGTATTTGCAACTGAGTCTGATGACATGAGTTCAATCCCCAGGACCCACATGGTGAAAACAGAGAACCGACTCCAGCAAGTTGTCCTCTGACCCTTCACAAGTTTGAGCAATGGCATATAAGTACAAGCACAAAATAAACAAACAATATGTTTAAAATACATAATAAAGTATACTATATGATATATATTATTCATTATAAAATTTTATGTATTTGCATATATGTAAATTTTATA